TCTCCTCCATGAGAAATATTATTTTATTAGCTTCAAAAAAAAGTTTAAGGACTACTTTGTTGAGAAGTGCTCCGGAAACTAAGCTTCTACGAAGGGAGGGAACGTACAAAACATTGTTCAAGGATAAAGTTTTTCTAGAAGTTTATTTAAGTAAAACTTTTCCTTTACTCATAACTCCAGCACTAGTGGAGTTACCCATGTAAACAGATTCTCCATCAGTGGACTCCTCGAAGTCATGGAATGAATTTTTATTTGTACAGAAATGCATTGAACTGCTAGTGTCTAGCACCGAATGAGTTTTATTAGCCAGCAGATTTCCCTCAACGACTACATTAGCAATCACTTCATTACCCTTAGTAAGATGAGCTTGGGCATCACTTTGTCCTTCCTGCTTTGAGTCCTGCCCTTTTCATTGATAGACACTGACATCCCTGTGACCAACCTTTCCACAAACAAAACAAGGACCCTTAAATTTATGAATTGCACTCTCTGGCTTGTTGAATTGATTTTTCTTCTTCATATGTTCATTTTTTGAGACTTTCTTTTGTTCGCTTTTGAACCTGTCTTTCACAACAGTACCAGAAGATTCAACAAGATTAGCTTTAGAAGAATTAAGAGAAAGTTTTTCCATCTTATCTTTGAGATGGTTCACCTCTTCAGTCCTCATACGACTAATAAGTACTTGGAGAGTTAATTTTTTTTCTTATGTTTTAATTGGTTTCTACAATCACTCCAAGATGGTGGGAATATTTTAAGGAGAACATTAGCCTTAAACATCTCATATCCTCGTTGAGAACATCAGTAGTCAAGTTCTTATATTCGTGAACTTGTTCAATTATTGGGTTATTTCAACCATTTGGAATATAATCCACTAATCGACAATATATTTTTTCTTTCCTGCATCATTAGCACCATATTTCTTTTCCAAACTATTTTATATTTCTTTGGAAGATTTATAGGTTAAAAATAAATAAAATAAAGGATTAGTCATATGACTTAGCAAGTGTCCTCTCACAGTTCTGTTATCCTTTTCAAACATCTTTTTAGCAACATCATCAACAACCATAACAGTGCTAAAATCAGTAGTGGTGTTAGAAACATTAATAGAAGGTTCCTTAAATAAAACATAATCAACTTCTAATTGTTCAAAGAAAATTAAAAGTTCTTGTGACCAACGTTTAAAATTATTTTCATCCAAAGGCTCAAGTTTTGACTAATCAGAAAAAGTTTTGTTCAAAGAAATAGTCATTTATCAATATTGTAAGTTAGTAAATCGCTTTCAAATTGTTGGAAAAAAATACTACAATATTGATATTAGATTGGAATTATAATGTAGTAAATAACTTATCACAAACACTGTGTCTTGGCCAGCCACTTCCTTGTAAGCGATTTCGGCTCGACTTCGGTGCAAATCATTGTAGCGGTCGCTCCCCAAGGTTCCACAGTTACTCTAAAAACGTGCACTCGTGGCTAAGAATTTGGAGGTTGTTCAAAACCAATTGCCCAAAAATATTCTATGAACAAGAAGAAAGGAGGAAAAAGTTTTTCTCTTGTGGTATTATGCTCACTCACGATACATATATATATATATATATATATATAGGATTTGAAAATAGGAGTTTCAAAGATAAGAAGTCATTTCTATGTAATGTATGTGAAATGTTAATGACATTAAAAGTCAATACATTACACTTAACAAAATGTAATTTGGAACGGATAGGTAATTCATCCCTTTTGTAACGTAATATTTTATATACTTTTCATTACTCTTAATTAATAGAGGTAAAATTAATATTTACAAATTGTACTCCACCTTCTACATAATGAATTTGCTCGTCGTTACCCGTGGTTTTCTCCCGGCAGGTTTTCCACATTAAATTGTGTATCATGTGTTATGTTTCTAGAATTCTTTCTTGATTATTTACATATATCATGTTTTTGATACATTCTATTTTCTAACATAATCAACAAAATTAAGTTCTCATCTTCTTTAAGTTAACATGCTTATCTTTCATAGTAAATCCCCCTTATATAGCATAAGCATATCCACCAGTGTGTTCCAGGTATTTTGTTTAAGTTTGTTGTTTTTCACTTAAATGTTATACCATTAGACACACTCTAGCTGCTGTTAACATCTTCTTTTGGAAAGGAAGAGAGATTTCTCAAAACAACAAAGAATGTATTATAGAGTAAAACTTGATGAACAATAAATCTCTCCGGTCTCCAGCCAAAAATGCAATATATAATAAAAGCTTTATCTTTTCATCAAACTAAAAAAGAAAAACCCAACCATAGGTGTAGTATGCATTGATGTTAAACTATTTTGAACCTAAGATTTTAACAAATCAGTAAATTCATTTTGGAGTAAAATATTCTAAAACAAACTAAATTTTAATCCCTATTTGTTAATTACTAGTAGAAAAAGTTATAAGCAAACATCCTAAGTAGAGAAAAAACAACACAACATCTAAATCCTGGAGGTAGCATACAGTAAAAATCAAATTAGGACGTGGACAATTGAACTGCACTAAAGTTAATTAGGAAAAAAGTAACCAAACAAACATCAGCATATTGATTACTATTGCCTAATGTAGATAAAAAAAATCAAAATTGCTAAAAGTTGTATGATATATATAGCTGATACATTGTTTGATTATCAAATCCAGAACTTTTGTACTACACTTTTAATGAAGGGGGAAGACAATGTTTTGAGCAAATTGACAAGATTTTCTCTTAATCTAGTCACTTAATGATATAGAACAAGTTATTAATCTTCTAGTTAGAAAATTGAAACTTGTTCAAAGAATCTAATATTGAACACTCCTTTATGTACTTAAAGGTGTTGAACACTCCTTTATTTATTTATTTTATAATCATGATGTACTTTCACGACCCGAGCCTACACCCTGGACGTGGTCGGCACTCGAGAACCATTGGTGGTCCCTAAAAAATCCTCATCTTGGCTAACTAAAAGCGGAAGACTAACTCAAGCATACAAAAGCTTAAAAACTGAATAAAAATTCGTTGAACTCAATTACAAATCTTTAACTCAAATGAATAACTCTAAATAAAAATAATATATTCAACTCACCATAAAATAGGCAACTTAAGTCTTTAAAACATTTAACAAAATAAATGAAACAAACTTCTCAAACTCTACTGTCTATTTCTGAAGCCTCTAACTGACAAAGATTGAAGTCGGAAAAAGACCCATGACATCCTAACAACTGATATAACTGAAAGTACAAGTGGAACCCTCTGGAAGCAAAGAGACGCACCATAGCTAACTCGAAATGCATGTGATATCACCGAAGCGTCAGTTGATGATCCTAAATAGATGTATCTGCATCATGAAATGATGCAGGCCGAATGACTCAGTACGTGGAATGTACAAGCATGCAAGGGAAATTCTAAAGCACGAACATAAGTTTAAACTGATGAAATAGAAATATACTTACCCATTCTAAACTCAGTCAACTTAACTCAACTCAAAGAAACATAGTTCAATTCAACTAAGAGAAAACAAGGCTCTACTCAATGATAAGATATTCAACTTAGTGAAATAAAGCTCAACTCAATAATAAGATATCTAACTTAGTGAAATAAGGCTCTACTGAATAATAGGATATTCAATTCAGTGAAATAAGGCCTAACACAATAATAATATATTCGACTCTGCATACTAGAACTCTGGATACTCAACTTAATATAGAGCAACAATAAGTGATGCAATATATGGAAACCTTTTAAAACAATAGAAAGCAACTCAATGTAATTAAGAATACAATATACTCAGTGTGTATGGAATGCACTGCCCATTTTATTTGTTATCAAGATAGTACCAAAAATAAAAGGAAGAACTTTGGAACAAATCCAGGCTACTATTAATGCATCATAAAATACCTTAGCAGTTAACACCTCGATCGGTTCATCCTTTCTACTAAAATTTACTCCATCAAATAGCAAGAGAGTTGGTTGAAACTACATTCAAGTGTTTTTTGCATTGTGGATTACATTCTCTATTTTCAGACACAAGCTTATGAAGCCGCAAATATTAAAAACTCAGTATTATGTTCCCTGTGATATTATTAAAGGTAAATTAGGAACCATCGTCAATACTATTGACCTACAAAATGTTGATAATATCTTCAATAGTATTTTTTTTCTCAAATATAACCACATAGAGATTTTGCCATACCTTTGCCAATTGTCAGAAACTCAAGTTTATAAGCAGGACTTGCAAGATCAGCTATCATTGTCAGTTCTCTTTGTTGTGACTACTATGAATAACTCTTCTAGTGTATCAAGTAATATTATTAGCTTCACATTCTACTCCTGCAATGAATTGATGTTGTTTCTCATGTGATTAGTAACTCTCTTCTTAATGGATTTCCCCCCAATTGCACCAGTTTGACTTCTATTACCTGAATAAGAACAACAGGGGACCTCATGGATGCTTTTGTTTCCTCCACGTTCTGTGCCGAGTTGATCTTCTTTCCACCTTCTTTTTGGTAGACTCATAGCCTTTTCAATAGGCCCCTTGGGAACTACATAATGATCAAGAACTATATGGTGTTCACCTCCACCACTTTCACTTTAATTTTCAACTTGTTTCTTGGTTCTAGCTTCTAAAGTTTGGATATTTATACTAATCAGATCGCTAGGATTGGTTGGCGTTTCTTGCTTAGAAACAAGAGAACAGTTGTTGAAGACTAAACTTGGATCGCTTTCCTCGTCCACATTATCAAAGCCTCCAAATCCTTGCAGGTTTTATTTATCAAAAAGAAAAAGGATCGAAGAAAGTTGAGTGTATGTTACAACTTTTCTCATTATAGTTGTGTGTCGCGCAATTTGTGATCATATCCTTGTACACATACCTGAAAATGATTTCTCATTATAATCTGTTCATCTTCTTGATTGTCACGAAGAATGTTCAGAAATGTTTTCCTACTCAGACATAAAATTTGAGAAATTTCAGTTGTTGTAACATCATATGGTCTTGGCCTTCCAAGTAAAACACCTATTTCTCCAAATTATTCTCGAGCAACAGCCTTCCCAATGATCTATTTTTGAACATATTTCAGAAAAAATAAGTTAAGGCTAATGTGTTTGAAAATGATAAAATGATTGTTGAGTGTGTTATACTTACTTGTTCACGTCCATCGATATCTACTAGAAGATTCTGCAATAGTACACATATTAACTTCAAGTAATTGTTCCCAACATATTAACTTACCAATGCTCCTGAGACTATTATGTAAAAATATGTTTGAGACTCATTCTGTAAAATCACATCTTCCTTGGAAGGATAGTGTTCAGCTTCCATTTCAGGAACCTTAAAAGAAGGAAATAAACCATTGAATATACATTGTATACGCCAAGTGAGAAGGGGATCAGAACAATGTAGAACAAGAAATTACCAGTTGGGAAAGCAGGTCCCTGGAAACGCCTCGGAACAGACTGACATTTTGAACTATTGGTAAAAACAGGTAATGTCCAATGCTTGATCTAATAGCTTTTGGCAGAACATTCATGGTCTCTTTTTGTTGATGAATAATTATTTTATAATTCATGAGCATATACAAGTCCATTTTAAGAAGACATCAACGAAGGATCAACTATAGAATAGTCACAACACAAACTACATTCTATTATAACAGGAAATAGACCTAAACAATAGCACTTTTGATAATTTAATGGAGCAAAAAGAAGAGGTACTTCAACAATTAGAAGGAATCAGTAAAGGAGAAAAGAGGAAAATCAGAAGTATGATGATGATATCCAAGAAATTATCCACCTATGGAACTTCACAATAGCTCATATACATCGATAAACCAGAAAGAATCCAACTGAGAAATGCGGGAAAAAAAGAGAAGCACTTACAAGTTACAGCCATGGCTATAGCTCAAGCGACCATGGCAGACTCAGCCAGACGCAAGAAGCGCTGGCCGGAGTAGATGGCGTTGTGCTCTGGATGGTGATGACTGACAGAGAAGATCACTTTTCAAACCAGTAGTAAATTTTAGTACCAATTAGTAGCAAATTTTAGTTTATTCCATTTTTATGTTAATGTATCTCTTGCTTCCTGTTACTCTAATGTAAATCTTCTACAATAATTAAAGTGTATTTTTGACATCCTACTCAAGTGAGAGGTGAAATCAATGAAGACATCATCAATGCAAGGGTATTCAAATCCGATTGAATAACTTATGGACAAGAAATACAACATCAATGTCAAGTTAAATATGGTCTAGAGTAGTCAATTTCATCATAACTCCAACAAAACATTAAACCCACAATAACTACAATTTAATGGAAAAAAACCCACAAATAGAGAAATACATCAAATACACTAACCACACCCAAAGATTAAAGACAAAAGAAGAGATTCAAGATAAAACCTCAAAAGCCTAAACTTGTAGTTTCTTCAGCTATAACCTCAAAGATTGAAGAAGAGAACCTCCAGCAGTTGAAGAAGAAAACCTCTAGATTTCTCAGATTTTACAAGAAAACATACAACCGTCGATTTCCTTAGATTTCACAAGAGGTTTTAAGAGAAAAATAGGTTTAGATTCAAAACCAAAAATGGGTTTATGTTAGCCCTAAAATGAGAGAAATGAAGAACTTACCTGCAATGCTCCCCAACTTCTGTGTTCGATCGATCTTCTATGAATGGATGAAAAATTAGGTTAAAGAGAAGAACAATGACAACTTCTGTGTTCTGATAGTTGAAGAGATGGGAAATGAGCTTAGAAAATGTTTGCCTCGTTTGTATCAATATCTGATAAAGAGAAAAATAAATTGTATTTAAAAAATTAGTTAAAAATAAAATATAATGAAAATCTTTTGGCGGTTCATCCAAAATAAGAGAGGGAAATTATGGAGGGATTTAATAACTATTCCAATAGAAAAAAAATCGCATTAAATGTTGTCATAGTTGACTTTATGGCAACTGTTCTGGCAACCGTTGCAATATGTATGTTTATTGCAGCGGTTTTCACACAATGGCAACAGATTTATTACCTAGTCGTAGCAATAATACCCAATCCTTTTGGCAACGGTTCAAACCGTTGCAATAGACCCACTATAGTAACGGTTGCTAAAAAATCCATTGCCGTAGGCCTTATTTCTACTAGTGTGCCCTAGTTTCCATCTTATATTTATATCTCAAACTATGAATCTTTCTTACTTGTTAATTATTGATTCAAATAAACAATCTCTTATTTTAGTTACAAAAACCACCCTGTTTACTTTTCTCGGAAATAGTTTGACTAAAAAAAGATAATTGTGAGTTAAGTTTAGGTCTAAACCATATTCCTCATGGGATAGACCCCAACCTACAGGTTGGGTTCTTTACTTGATAATGATCACTTATACTTCTTTAAGGAGGTGTAATTCTAGCGTATCAGCGGATGTGAAAGCCAAGCAAGATCTTGATCCAATTTTGGTTAAGTTAATAGAAGCGGTGCTTAAGAAATTTGTTCAGGCTTTCTCCCAAGGGGGAAATAGAGTGCTTAGATATCAAGGTCATTTATGTGTTCCTAATGTTGATAACTTGGGGGAACAAATCTAGACAGAAGCCCATAGTTTGCGGTATTCCATTCACCAGAGAGCCACCAAGATGTACCGTAAATGATTTACAGGAGGACTATTGGTTGAATGGGATGAATAAGGACATTGCAAAAATTTTGGCCAAGTGTCCTAATTGTCAACAAGTGAAAGTTGAGCATCAGAAACCTAGAGCTTTATCCCACGATATTAGCATTTCTACTTGGAAGTGGGAAGATGTGAATATGGACTTTATTGTTGGTTTGCCTGGCACCCGACGACAATATGACTCGATTTGAATTATAGTATATTGGATGACGAAATCGGCTCATTTCATTTCCATCAAGGTTTCGTATTCGGCGGAGGACTATGCCAAGTTGTACTTGAGAGAAATTGTAAAGTTGCATGGAGTGCCTTTGTCCATTATTTCCGATCGTGGTACCCAATTCACTTCTCAGTTCTGGAAGTCTTTCCAAAAAGGTCTTGGTACTCAGGTGGAGCTTAGTAGGGCCTTCCATCCCCAAACCGATGGGCAAGCGAAGCATACTATCCAAACTTTGGAATATATGTTAAGTGCTTGTGTGATTTCTTTTAAGGGCAATTGGGATGACCATTTTCCATTGATTGAGTTTCCCTATAACATTAACTATCACTAGAGATTCGATATGGCTCCATTTGAAGCATTATATGGTAGGAGGTGTAGATCTCCTATAGGTTGGTTTGAGGTGGGTAAAGTCTCCGTCATAGGTCCCGAGTTGGTACATGATGCCATAGAGAAAGTTTGACTTATTAGAGAAAGGTTGAAAATGGCTCAAAGTCGACAAAAGTAATAGGCCGATGAAAGAAGAAGAGATCTTCAATTGATATTCATGATTAGGTTTACTTGAAAATTTCACCCATAAAGGGTGTAATTAGGTTTGGTAAGAAAGGGAAGCTTAGTCTCTGATATGTAGGCCCATATCAGATTTTAAGGTGTGTTAGTAAGGTTGCTTAAGAACTAGCTTTGCCTAAGGAATTTGCATTGTTGCATCTAGTTTTTCATGTCTCTTTGTTGAAGAAATATGTTGGTGATCCGAAATTCATAGTTCCCTTAGAAGGTTTGGAAGTTAAGGAGAATATTCTATATGAAGATGTTCTGGTTGAGATTTTAGACCGGCAAGTCATAAAGTTCAGAAATAAGGAAGTAGCTTTCGTGAAAGTATTGTGGAGGAATCAATTAGTTGAGGGTGCTACTTGGGAGTCCGAGGCCGATATGATGTCCCGATATCCTCTTCTTTTTCCATCTACTCCAACTCTAGTTTGAGGTAATGAGTTCCTCATGGTTTGTTCTTTGTTTTGAAGTCATGTTTCTTATATGTTTCAATGATTTCCTTATTATGCATGATTTATGAAAAAATTAAATTTTGAGAAAATGAGTTTATTTGATTGACTCCTACATGTTTATGTGCATTGAGTATGAACTGCATGTACACTACTTGATATGATGTTGTAAGCATGTCTTGAGCTTGGAGTTGAACTCTCCTCCTCGGATATGTGCATTTGACTATGATTTTTACTTTGAGTTGAGGTTTCCTTTTCAGTTATGTGTATTACATGCATGATGGGCTGTAGATTTAGTTCCACCCCTTTTATGATGTTTTTAGTATGTCCTAACTTGGAGTCTGTACTTCCTCCTTGGTTATATGCATTTAGATGAAGTTGCATTGTAGGTTCGATTGTTAGTTCTCTCCTACTCTTTTCCTACCAGCTTGAATCTCATTCGAGGATGAATGATCCCAAGAGGGAGATATTGTAACACCCCGGATACCGAAAAGGGAAAGATGTCTGACTTTTGAATATTGCAGGTGTCGACCCACGAAGGCCACCCATAGTCCGTGGATGGGACCACTATAACACCCGTAAACTAGTAGTCTAAACTAGAGACTTATGTAAGGGTTTATAGTTTGAAGTCAGGGTTAGAGTCGTAGAAATGCCTTCCCCTACTTAGAATGAAAGGTTTAGGGGTTAAACGTCAAGGTACGACTCCACAAGGACAAACCAAGGGTCCTTGAAGAGACCCTATAACTACCCAAAATCTGCCATAAAGACAGCCCACAAATGATTGGGGACCCACGCCCTGTAGGGGGATCCACTCCTCGTGGACCCAAGACCCCAAAAGTGGAGTTGCATACCACCACCCACGGAGGACTAGTACAGCCTGTGGGTCCACCAACGGCCCGTGGGTCGGGGTCTCGTGGGTGGGGCAGTGCACTCCTTTAAGTCGGTTAAGTTTTGGAGTTAGGAAATATTCTATAATTAGTTAGTTATTAAGTGGTGTCTCTTTATTAGTAATTAGACCACCTATATAAAGCTAATATACCCCTAAATACATGAATCCAAATCATTATTTTCAATTCACCAAAGAACCCAATCCACTCCAAGAAATTCTCTCTCTAAAAAGTAAAGAAGAAGAAGTAGAGAAACAAGCTAGCTAAAATTCCTCCATCATTGCAAGCTTTGTGAGGGCTTAATAATCAAGGTATGATAGCTTATTCATCCATGAATTCTTCCATCCATGGAGCCCCCTAGATTTCCCCCAAATATTGTAAATGAACCTCAATTCTAGCTAGGGTTTCTTCCTGTATTGTGGGTAGTGTTGAGTATGATTCAAATTGAGTTGATAGTACTTGTTTATGATTGATTTAGTAATGAATTATGTGATTATGAAGATATTATATGTTTTCCAAGGCTAACCCTAGTTAATTGATGAAATTGAATAAATGTGGGTTTGTGGCTGAAAGAGGGAAATTGAAGACTTAGAGATTATCTTCTAGAATTGATGTTATAGTAGTAATTGTTCAAGAATAAAAGCATGTCGACATGAATTGAATTATATTTTACTATATATGATGGATCATGACTAGTAAAGCTTGAAGTTTAACCTTTATGATGCCTTTTGACGAGAATCACTTAATAATGAACCATGTGATTAGAATGCCTTGAAATCTTGGTATGTATGATGATTGTAGAAATAAAGCTTTGAGATTAAGTCTTGTAGTCATGAATGTTGATCACTAAGGCTTTGAGAGTAAAGCTAATATGATGAATTATATATGTTTAGGCTTTAAGAGTTAAATATATATGAGAATATAAGATTTATGGGTAGACTTATGGTGGAAGGCCTTTTACCTAGCTAACTTACCTTATGAATGATAGATTCTATGATGTGATAGAATCACTTCAGTCATGATGATATCCATGCCTAATGTAGAATTCTAGATAAGGTATTATGCATGAACATGATATGATATGAAAGGTTCTGTCACATAGAATGATTCTAGGTTCAAAGGCGTGCTCACCTAAAATAAATCTAAGTCCAATGACTATGAAATGTGATAAGGCTTCTGGTGATTTCCCTAAAGACTGTTGTATGAGAGGGATGTGAGGTGACTTCCCTTATCCCTAAATAGATAGTCATGATGAGATTACCCATGACATGATATGAGAAGTGTTTGGTGACTACCCTTAAAATATGACTTCTATAGTAAGGCAAGAGGTGAATACACATTAGCCTTTATGTTGAGATGGAGGCGAATACCTATGTTTCCCTAAAATAGTCTGTAGGCGAATACCTATGACTATACATGTAAAGTAAGAGGTGAATATCCATTTGGCCTACATGATTGACATAGAGAGGTGAATACCCATTGGTCCTTATGATAGACATAGATAGGTGAGTTCCCATGTCATAAGCTTAAGTAAAGATTAATATGAGCATGACTAGTTTTGATTGTAGCTTGAAAGGCCCTTCCAATACATGCATTACTTGAAGTGACACCCCTTGTCCTTTATGATTCCATGATATGTATGACTTGAGATGATTCCCCTTGTCCTTCATGATTGGCTAGATATGAGATTAAAGAGATGATCAATATTCATGAAATCCTAAAGTGGTACTTAGTATGGGTAGGATTATAAGGTCTTATCTATGCATTGCACAAGCATGACTTGAAGCTAATTATGAAGTGTTCT